AAACATAATATAATTTAGCCTAATCCAACTAAATATATTTTAGACAAGTTTACAATAATTTAATAAACAATGAAATATATTTTTTTCATTAGGTTCAGAATGATTTTTGCATACACAAATTTTAGCTTGCCTTATTCATCAAGAAGAGCGTTGCTATTTAAGCAAAAATCACAAGTTTTACCTATTCGGCACGACATATATACAAGGAGAATGGAGAACTGGGAAGTATGATAGAGCATACAAGGTGGAAGTAGTGTGTCAGGCAGCAGCATGGATCACTGTTTACTCTCCAGACACTATTAAGAAATTTAAAAGAAAACATTAAAAAATTTGACTGAGCTAATTACACAGCCTAATTAGTATGTCAAAATATATTGTCTTGTTAATGAGAAAACAGGGACGGACGCAGAGCCCAAAAATGACTTATTCACATGAATATGTCATGTGAATGTGACTTATTCACATGAATGTCATGTGAATGTGACTTATTCACATGAATATGTCATGTGAATGTGACTTATTCACATGAATGTCATGTGAATGTGACTTATTCACATGAATATGTCATGTGAATGTGACTTATTCACATGAATGTCATGTGAATGTGACTTATTCACATGAATATGTCATGTGAATGTGACTTATTCACATGTCATGTGAATGTGACTTATTCACATGAATATGTCATGTGAATGTGATTTATTCACATGGCAAATATTAAAATTTTTTATTATTTATTATCACACTGGCCGATTCCCACCAAGGCAGGGTGGCCCAACAAAGAAAAACTTTCACCATCATTCACTCCATCACTGTCTTGCCAGAAGGGTGCTTTACACTACAGTTTTTAAACTGCAACATTAACACCCCTCCTTCAGAGTGCAGGCACTGTACTTCCCATCTCCAGGACTCAAGTCCGGCCTGCCGGTTTCCCTGAATCCCTTCATAAATGTTACTTTGCTCACACTCCAACAGCACGTCAAGTATTAAAAACCATTTGTCTCCATTCACTCCTATCACTACCTATCGAAGTATAGGTATCGGCCGGTTTTATGGTGTCGGTAAACAAGGACCGATACCAGCCGATACTTTTTAAAATATTAATATTATAATTGTGTTTAAAAATATTATTATTAACGTCTACCTCACGATTGTGAGAGTTAGTCAGTCACACACACACACACACACACACACACACACACACACACACACACACACGCGCGCGCGCGTTTGACACAGTTCCACACAAGAGATTGGTGCAAAAACTGGAGGACCAAGCAGGGATAACAGGGAAGGCACTACAATGGATCAGGGAATACTTGTCAGGAAGACAGCAGCGAGTCATGGTACGTGGCGAGGTGTCAGAGTGGGCACCTGTGACCAGCGGGGTCCCGCAGGGGTCAGTCCTAGGACCAGTGCTGTTTCTGGTATTTGTGAACGACATGACGGAAGGAATAGACTCTGAGGTGTCCCTGTTTGCAGATGACGTGAAGTTGATGAGAAGAATTCACTCGATCGAAGACCAGGCAGAACTACAAAGGGATCTGGACAGGCTGCAGACCTGGTCCAGCAATTGGCTCCTGGAGTTTCAATCCCACCAAATGCAAAGTCATGAAGATTGGGGAAGGGCAAAGAAGGCCGCAGACGGAGTACAGTCTAGGGGGTCAGAGACTACAAACCTCACTCAAGGAAAAAGATCTTGGGGTGAGTATAACACCAGGCACATCTCCTGAAGCGCACATCAACCAAAATAACTGCTGCAGCATATGGGCGCCTGGCAAACCTCAGAACAGCATTCCGACATCTTAATAAGGAATCATTCAGGACCCTGTACACCGTGTACGTTAGGCCCATATTGGAGTATGCGGCACCAGTTTGGAACCCACACCTAGCCAAGCACGTGAAGAAACTAGAGAAAGTGCAAAGGTTTGCAACAAGACTAGTCCCAGAGCTAAGAGGTATGTCCTACGAGGAGAGGTTAAGGGAAATCAACCTGACGACACTGGAGGACAGGAGAGATAGGGGGGACATGATAACGACATACAAAATACTGAGAGGAATTGACAAGGTGGACAAAGACAGGATGTTCCAGAGATTGGGCACAGTAACAAGGGGACACAGTTGGAAGCTGAAGACACAGATGAATCACAGGGATGTTAGGAAGTATTTCTTCAGCCACAGAGTAGTCAGTAAGTGGAATAGTTTGGGAAGCGATGTAGTGGAGGCAGGATCCATACATAGCTTTAAGCAGAGGTATGATAAAGCTCACGGCTCAGGGAGAGTGACCTAGTAGCGATCAGTGAAGAGGCGGGGCCAGGAGCTCGGACTCGACCCCCGCAACCTCAACTAGGTGAGTACAACTAGGTGAGTACACACACACACACACACACACAAGGTGGACGAAGGATGTTCCAGAGAGGGGACACAGAAACAAGGGGTCACAATTGGAAGTTGAAGACCCAGATGAGTCAAAGGGATGTTAGGAAGTATTTCTTCAGAGTTGTCAGTAAGTGGAATAGTCTAGCAAGTGATGTAGTGGAGGTAGGAACCATACATAGCTTGAAGAAGAGGTATGATAAAGCTCATGGAGCAAGTAGAGAGAGAACCTAGTAGCGATCAGTGAAGAGGCGGGGCCAGGAACCAAGTCTCGACCCCTGCAACCACAATTAGGTGAGTACAGTTAGGTGAGTGTACACACACACACACACACACACACACACACACACACACACACACGAAAAGTTAGAAGAAAAACTGGCTGCCATTTAAAGAGCCCTTTTTAAGGATACCTAATAATTAATAATAATAATACAAATAATAATAATAATAATAATAGACATCGTGTATAAATAAATATTTGCGCATAGTGTCTTGATCAAAATAATACAAATTATTGACCAAATTTTTAAAGCTATTTTATGAAATCGTGAAAGATAAAGCAAGATAAAGCAAGACTGCTGACCAAATAGCCAGCGACAATATTCAACAGTATTTTTTTTGTTAAATCTAGAATCATTTACCAAGCATAACATAACATAACATAACATAAAAAAAATGCATTGACAATTATGTGTAAATGATTCCAGTCCAAGTGAAATATTCTTCATTCGTGTACTAAAGAGATTATCCACATTTAAAACAAGGTTATACAAACATTTCTTCATATTCGTGACTCACTGTTTGCACAGCTTAAACTTTCCATGAACAGCCTTTCCTTCCGATGAGTATTTTGTCTATTTGAGTTTGTATACCTGGAGTTTACCTGTAGAGGGTTTCGGGGGTCAACTCCCCTGCGGCCCGATCTGTGACCAGGCCTCATGGTGGATCAAGGCCTGATCAACCAGGCTGTTACTGATGGCCGCACGCAACCCGACGTACGAACCACAGCCCGGCTGGTCAGGCACTGACTTTAGCTGCCTGTCCAGCGCCTTCTTGAAAACAGCCAGGGGTCAATTGGTAATCCCCTTATGTACGCTGGGAGGCAGTTGAACAGTCTTGGGCCCTGACACTTATTGTATTGTCTGTTATCGTGCTAGTGGCATGTTGCATCGTATGCCGAGTCTTTTGCTTTTTAAAGGGAGTGATTTTCGTGTGCAAGTTTGGTACTAATCCCTTGGGATTTTCAAAGTGCATATATCATGTATCTCTCCCGCCTGCGTTCTAGGGAGTACAGGTTGAGGAACTTCAAGCATTCCCATTAACTGAGAAGTTTTATCACAGTTGTGTGTGCCGTGAAAGTTCTCTGCACATTTTCTAGGTCAGTAATTTCACCTGGCTTGAAAGGTGCTGTTAGTGTGCAGCAATATTCCAGCCTAGATAGAACAAGCGACCTGAAGAGTGTCATCATGGGCTTAGCATCCCTAGTCTTGTAGGTTCTTATTATCCATCCTATCATTTTTCTAGCAGATGCAATTGATACAATGTTGTGGCAAGAGTGACATTTGCAACACACGATATGTACACTAAGAGGTTTATTTCTCTCAACGTATACGTACGGAGAGTTTACTTTAATACCTATTTTAGGGATTAGGGTATTCTTGTCTGATAGTGAACAGGTTACTCATTGTTTTATTGGCTAGTGTAATAGGCTTTAAATCCTGTTAACCAGCCTGGATTCATAACTCACATATGCCTGCAACACTGGTAGGCATTTGAGTTATAAATCCAAGTATTTTCAAAGATACATTACACAGAGATAAGAGGCTTAAGATCACAAGAGAAGGACCAGCTTCAGTCCCGGGTAAGATGGCAATATTCTTTACAACAGTTACTTCCCTGTTCACCTACTAGTAGCTGGTCATAGATACCTGAGTTTTGGTAAATTGTTGTGGGTGAAATCCTGAGCACGACGAGACGTTTGGGCAAGTCTCTATACACGTTTTCCCTATTCACCTAGCAGTAAATAGGTATCTACGTGTTTGTTTGTGGCATCTCGGGGAATGGTAGTATACCTTAGATAGAGCTGGGCTTGTAAATGACCTGAGGTACGATAACAGGTCTTTGACTCAGTTGAGGTTGGATAACAGCTCGTAACCTGTGAATGAACTGAGGTTGGCTAACAGCTTAGCTTTAAATAAAGTGAAGCAGGATAACAACTCTTAGCCTTTAAATGTGCAGAAGCAGGACAACATTCTCTAGATTTTAACTGCAAGAGCTAAGAGATAAAAACGCCTTCTCTACCAAACAGCACCTCAGACAGTCTCTATGGATACACCTTTAACATTCACAGGTCACGGACTTCTTCACCAAGGACAAATACCTCTAACATCTGGTAATGGATACAAATGCAGTCTAATGTAATCCTTTAGTGTCAATAATTGCATTATACCGCATTTGTCTCTTATTATTGTTTCGGTAGTTGATATAATTTTTGTTCAACTTCTAACAACTGTAACTGGGACACAAGTATGAACTGTTAAATAAGGAACCGTACCCACAAGAACCTCCACGGACACATGTACCACCCAGCAGCCATGAACACTTGTATCAAGGACACGTACCTATGACCGTCATGTTGGCATCCATGGTATCCTGCTCGAAGGTGTTGGCTAGCACCTCACATCGTAGCTTGCCCGAGGCGCGGTGATCGACGTGGGACAACACAACCTCGTGTAGCGTTGAGATACCCTCCTGCAAGGTAGGAAGGTGGGGCCCTGGTTATTACCATGTACTCACCTATTTGTGGTTGCAGGGGTCGAGTCATAGCTCCTGGCCCCACTTCTTCACTCGTCGCTACTAGGTCCAATGTATGGTTCCTGCCTCCACTACGTCACTAGACAGACTATTCCACTTCCTGACAACTCTGACTACAGAAATACTTCCTCACATCCCTTTGACTCATCTGAGTCTTCAATTTCCAATTGTGACCCCTTGTTTCTGTCTCCCATCTGGAACAACCTGTCTGTCCACCTTGTCAATTTCTCGCAGTATTTTGTATGCCGTTATCATGTTTCCTCTAACCCTCCTGTCCTCCAGTGTCGTCAGGCCGATTTCCCTCAACCTTTCTTCGTAGGGCATTTATCTTAGCTCTGGAACTAGTCTTGTTGCAAACCTTTGTACTTTCTCTAATTTCTTGACCTGCTTGATCAGGTGTGGGTTCCAAAATGGTGCTGCATACTCCAGTATGGGCCTGACGTACACGGAGTACAGAGTCTTGAACGATTCCTTATTAAGGCATCGGAACGCTATTCTCAGGTTTGCCAAGCGCCCATATGCTGCAGCAGTTTTCTGGTTGATGTGCGCCTCAAGAGATGTGCTCGGCATTATACTCACCCCAAGATCCCTTTCCTTGAGTGAGGTTTGCAGTCTTTGACCACCTAGCCTATACTCTGTCTGCGGTCTTCTTTGCCCTTCCCCGATCTTCATGACTTTGCATTGGACGGGGTTAAATTCGAGTAGCCAGTTGCTGGACCAGGCTTCTAGCCTGTCCAGGTCTCTGCAAACAGGCGTGCGTGCGTGTGTACTCACCTAGTTGTGTTTTATTGAGGTAGAGTCATAGCTCCTGGCCCCGCCTCTTCGCTGGTCGCTGGTGTGTGTGTGTGTGTGTGTGTGTGTGTGTGTGTTTATTTGAACTGCACAAAGTTTCCTGTACATTCCCCATCTAATGAAGGTACTTCTTAAACAAACAAAAAAAAACATAAGTCATTCATAATTGTTATACCACAAGAAGAAGCATATATACACAGGATATATACGCCGAGATGCGAGTCTCTCAGTGAATATATGCAGAGATGTTATGTTTATCTCTTCTTTAGGTATTACGATATTCTTGACTGGTAGTGAAGAAGTTAGATGCAGCCTTAGTGACCCTCGTATAGTCTACAGGCTTTAAGCCTAGATAACTAAACAACCAAGAATGTCGAGTATATCCACCTAGGATTGTATACATTTCTGTGAATATACCATAGCGAATTTGGGTGTACAGCTCTTACTTTGAGGTTTATAAAGAATAAAATGACTCAATATTGTGATTGGAACAATACACAAATAACCCACACACACAGTTGACAAATTTATGACAACTTTTCGGTCCGACCGAAACGTCGTCATAAGTTTCAGTCTATTTGCGGGTTATTTGTGTATTGAGGTCTAAAGCTTTCAATACATACATCACAATAAATTCCAGCACATATACCTCTGTGTATATCTATGACCGTATATATCATAAAAGATTACTGGCACTTTACCACTTGTATTAAGGAGAATCCAGCGAACACGGAGCTTCTGAGAGCAACGATGATGCAAGAAGTTAAAAAGGTGATTTTTCTAGCTGTTTGGGATGAAGGGGTACTGAGAGAGATAGAGAGAGGGGGGGGAGGGGAGAAGAGAGGGAATAAACAAAAGTGGGACACAAATAATAAACAAAAGCAAGAGGAGGCTGATATTAATCCTTGAGCATACATCTGCCACGAGTGTCCTCGCAACATGAAACAAGTCTAGTGCGTTAGGCTCATGTTTGTAGGATCGATGGCTCAGATGGTAGGGTGGCATGTACAATGTTTGGCCTCTTGAGGCGGGACAATGTGTCGTGGGGTCGAATCCTGGCCTGCCGCAGTTTGGTAAACGATTCAGAACCACTTGTTTCGTAGTTTCATTGATATATAATTATATATATATATATATATATTATATATAATATATATATATATATATATATATATATATATATAAAATATATATATAATATATATGATTGCAGTCAGCAGGATTCAATCCCACTACAGGGAGACTGGCCACAAATACCTCATAAGCTGGGCAGCCTGGTTCTATGCTTGAGGCCTATTGATGTGGCCGAACTAGAAAAGAAACATGGCTTGTAAAACCATATATATATAAATATTTATATTATTCACTTGCTTCTTTCAATTTACCTCGGGCGTTTTTTCTTTGTAGTGTTCGCAGTCAATTGTCGTTTTTGTTGAGTGTTTTTTAATTCACTCTTTACATTTTTGTGTGTGGCACTGAGAAAGCTGTGTGTGTGTTTTATCCTTTACGACCGACGACAAAACGTTATCAAAGTAAAAGCTTTTCTGTGGCTGCCTCCCTCCCTCCCATCCTCCCGTTTTCCCTTCTTCCTGCTTCCTTCCCTCCCTTCCACTCTCTCCAGTTCTCAAGACCTCACACTCTGCATAACTTAGCAAACAGCTAAAAAAAACGGCTATTACACCAGACGACGAGCAGCCAACAGCAGTTGCACTCTAGTGTTGCACTATTCAATAATATCGTACCATCAACTAATCATTCCTTAAGTAACTCAAGTTATGAACACAATCTCTCACCAGAAAAGACAGATACAGCTCGAAGTTCTACTGTGACATTTCGCTATGTGTTAGCTGATTAATTAATAACTGGCCGGCGCTTAGTAAACTTTTGACATCATTATGACTTGACAATGGTCTGTCATGGACACTGTCAAGTCTTACTTCGTGAGAAAAGCAGAAGAGGTGGGAAAGGGGGGACGAGGAAGGGTAGTATTATTGGGGAGGGGGGTCGAAGCAGAAATAGCATCAATAGTAGTAATCGTAACATCAGTGGTAGTAGTAATAGTAGTAATCGTAGCAGCAGTGGTAGTAGTAGTAGTAGTAATAGTGGTGGGGAGGAAGTTGTATTAATGGTAATATTACCAGTAGAAGTAAAAAAATAGCAGTAGAGCAGATGACGCTCAACACAAATTTTGTCGCAATAAAAGCTGTGTGTTATCTTTAAAACGTTGCTATATACACGTACGTATATTACAGAATCAAAAGTCAATAGCAGTCTTAGAGACTTGCACCACAGCTGCTCTAATTTCACTCTGCTCCTTCATGTGTCTTTTTTAATATAAAGTAAATTCAAACACTTTATATGATCTATATTAAAGATATTACTAAGGAGGTGAGATGGCAGCTGTTAAATGGTGTGACAAAAGGCACAAACTATGAGAATTATTATCATTATTATTACATTTAAGAGAAGTGCTAAATCCGGAGAGGGATCATAATGCGCCTGCGGAATAGGAGGCAATCAAATTCAATCCAAGGAACTGGAGGACAAGTTCAATCCCTTAAAGCAAGATCCCCTCACCAGCATCAAGGAACTTGCCTTGAGAGGTGAAAATAACAATACCTCTGTACCACCACCGATTCTTAACTAGTTGTTTTTATAACTGCCTATGTGTCTATGTCTGTCGTAACATCTATATTTGCCTGTGTCTGTCCTATCATCTATATTTACGTGTGTTTGTGTCAGTTTATATTTGCCTATGTGCCCGTATGTATGTTCCTTTGTCTTCTTTCTCGCTTGTCGGTCTGTTTCTGTTTCTGCCAGCCTAATTGTATCTGCTTGCCTGTTTCTATATCTGTATTTCTCTTCCTACCTCTCTATCTCTGCCTGTTTGTGCATGTCTGTTTGCTTGTATAATGGTTGCATAATCTCTAAGTAAACCTCTTTTTTTTATTTTAAGAATAAAAAAGTCAGAACGGGGTCAGATTTTTTTTTTGTGGTAAATGCAACGTGGAGTCCCAGTGGTTTACTTTTCTTCGGCATTCTGAACATATTTTGTTCAACTGGAAGTGCAGACGACGACTTTATTTCTGATCAATAGAGCACAAACACACCAGCGAGTTCTACTTCCCAATAATTATGGGAGAGAGAGAGAGAGAGAGATTCAAAAATAGCTAGTAACCAACTATACAAATAGACTTTAGAGGTAGGATGGGTCCCAATAGCTTGAGGTCTCCACCAGAAAATGGAGGCAACTAGGAGACACCGGAAAATATCGTCATGGATGCTAAGAGAAGCAGCCGAAGTGCTGCCACTCATTGGAATCTGCAATTCCAGTGAGAAGTTATAAACACCTTTGGACAGATAGATATAATATTAATATATAAGAAGGGAGAGAGACATGGAGCCCTAAATTAAAAACCAAAGTAACTGAAAAACTAACAGATGAAAAAAATATTTGAAGAAGAAGTAGAAAACAAAAAATTCTTTGTCAAACAACAAATCGGCTTCGAGAATGGGACGCTGTGCTTTACAAAGTTTGTAAACACACACGACCAGTTAACAAGAGAGAAAGAAGAGGGATGACTAGTGTTCCTTCGCTCTTAAAAACGCCTTTGATGAAGAATATCACAGAACATGCTTCACAAACTAGACGTGCAAGGCACGTCTGCACGACTGCGTATATTATAAATGACGGACCACAGGAAAAGATGAAGTTAACATACTAACGGTGTTAGATGTCGGAACTATGTCCCATACTGTTTCTAGAGTATTTTAAATGACCATTCCACCAGAGTGAACTCTTCATAAACTTGTTCATTATAAAAATAGGAGGAAAACTAGGAAACATAAGAACTACTTTTAGCCTCATGAACAAAAATTAATCTAGGTCATTACACACCAAGTAGGTTAAGCCTATCTTGAAGATAAGGCGGTGGCATAAAATCCGCATGTGATCAATTGTATCAAGTAAAGAAGATAGCCTGATCAGTCAAGCAGTGACACACAAACAACCACACACTATACTCACATCAACAGTGATGCCTGGAGTGGCATATACAGACTTGATTTGACTGTTGTTTGGGACGTAGTTGAAGAACATCTTGTCATCCTTCCACCAGGCCAGGGAATAGAGTTCGTCTCCGTTGAGCTCGAAGGAACACGAGAGTGTGACGGTGTCACCGCTGATGGCAGTGCTTGGTACTCCGATGCCGGTGATCTGTAGTGCCAACGCGGCCCCGCCTGTGAAGGAGGGAAGGTGGAAGGTAGATGGAAAGATGGGAGGGAGAGGGAGAGGAGGGAAAGGGAGGGATTGGGTGGTATAAGAATGGAGAGGGAGGGGGGGAGAGACTCATCACTACCTGGAGTATAACAATAAAATACATAACATATATACATATTAATTTATTAATGAAATTGTATGTGTACTTTATTTGCCTGGGCACTTGGGCACTCTATGAGTACCTGGAGACTACCTGGGTACCTTAACACTGTCTGGGTACCTGGAGACTACCTGGGTACCTTAACACTGTCTGGGTACCTGGAGACTGCCTGTGTACCTTAACACTGTCTGGGTACCTGGAGACTGCCTGGGTACCTTAACACTGTCTGGGTACCTGGAGACTGCCTGAGTACCTTAGCACTGTCTGGGTACCTGAAGACTGTCTGGGTACCTGGAGACTGCCTGTGTACCTTAACACTGTCTGGGTACCTGGAGACTGCCTGGGTACCTTAACACTGTCTGGGTACCTGGAGACTGCCTGTGACTTACATGTCTGGGTACCTGGGACTACTGGGTACCTTAACACTGTCTGGGTACCTGGAGACTGCCTGTGTACCTTAACACTGTCTGGGTACCTGGAGACTGCCTGGGTACCTTAACACTGTCTGGGTACCTGGAGACTGCCTGAGTACCTTAGCACTGTCTGGGTACCTGAAGATGTCTGGTACCTGGACTGCTGTGTACCTTAACACTGTCTGGGTACCTGGAGACTGCCTGGGTACCTTAACACTGTCTGGGTACCTGGAGACTGCCTGTGCACCTTAACACTGTCTGGGTACCTGGAGACTACCTGGGTACCTTAACACTGTCTGGGTACCTGGAGACTGCCTGTGTACCTTAACACTGTCTGGGTACCTGGAGACTGCCTGGGTACCTTACACTGTCTGGGTACTGAGACTGCTGAGTACCTTAGCACTGTCTGGTACCTGAAGACTGTCTGGGTACCTGGAGACTGCCTGTGTACCTTAACACTGTCTGGGTACCTGGAGACTGCCTGGGTACCTTAACACTGTCTGGGTACCTGGAGACTGCCTGTGCACCTTAACAGTCTGGTACTGAGATACCTGGGTACCTTAACACTGTCTGGGTACCTGGAGACTGCCTGTGTACCTTAACACTGTCTGGGTACCTGGAGACTGCCTGGGTACCTTAACACTGTCTGGGTACCTGGAGACTGCCTGAGTACCTTAGCACTGTCTGGGTACCTGAAGACTGTCTGGGTACCTGGAGACTGCCTGTGTACCTTAACACTGTCTGGGTACCTGGAGACTGCCTGGGTACCTTAACACTGTCTGGGTACCTGGAGACTGCCTGTGCACCTTAACACTGTCTGGGTACCTGGAGACTGCCTGGTTACCTTAACACTGTCTGGGTACCTAGAGACTGCCTGGGTACCTTAATACTGTTTGGGTACCTAGAGACTGCCTGTGTACCTTAACACTGTCTGGGTACCTGGAGACTGCCTGGGTACCTTAACACTGTCTGGGTACCTGGAGACTGCCTGGGTACCTTAACACTGTCTGGGCACCTAGAGACTGCCTGTGTACCTTACCACTGTCTGGGTACCTGGAGACTGCTTGTGTACCTTAACACTGTCTGGGTACCTGGAGACTGCCTGGGTACCTTAACACTGTCTGGGTACCTGGAGACTGCCTGGGTACCTTAACACTGTCTGGGTACCTGGAGACTGCCTGGGTACCTTAACACTGTCTGGGTACCTAGAGACTGCCTGGGTACCTTAACACTGTCTGGGTACCTAGAGACTGCCTGTGTACCTTAACACTGGGTACCTGGAGACTGCCTGGGTACCTTGACACTGTCTGGGTACCTAGAGACTGCCTGTGTACCTAAACACTGGGTACCTGGAGACTGCCTGGGTACCTTAACACTGTCTGGGTACCTGGAGACTGCCTGGGCACCTTAACACTGTCTGGGTACCTAGAGACTGCCTGTGTACCTGGAGACTGCCTGGGTACCTTGACACTGTCTGGGTACCTAGAGACTGCCTGGGTACCTTAACACTGGGTACCTGGAGACTGCCTGGGTACCTTAACACTGTCTGGGTACCTAGAGACTGCCTGTGTACCTTAACACTTGGTACCTGGAGGCTGCCTGTGTACCTTAACACTGTCTGGGTACCTAGAGACTGCCTGTGTACCTTAACACTGGGTACCTGGAGACTGCCTGTGTACATTAACACTGTCTGGGTACCTAGAGACTGCCTGTGTACCTTAACACTGGGTACCTGGAGACTGCCTGTGTACCTTAATACTGGGTACCTAGAGACTGCCTGTGTACCTTAACACTGTCTGGGTACCTGGAGACTGCCTGTGTACCTTAACACTGTCTGGGTACCTGGAGACTGCCTGGGTACCTTGACACTGCTTGTGTATCTGATTACAACACACTGTTCTGCTGTTTTATATATCTAAAAAAAATATAGATACATCAGCAATTTATTGTTACTTGGGACTGTGTTGGGACAGATGAAAGGTTGGAGAACGGCATCCTTGTCCTCTTACACTCCCAGTCAGAGTCACACACTCACTCTCCCCTCAACAAAAGTGCCAGAGGTGCACCACTCAGGTCACGGCTAACAAGAGCGGCTGCTGAATGACCGCGTGGTGTTTACTGTAGTTAAGCTTGGGTAACTAGCCATCAGGATCAAAGCAGCTCGGGGTTAGGAGACAGGTTGGAGCGGCGTAGATTGGGGGGAGAGGGAGCTGGGAATGAAGTGCTGAACACTTTGGAAGGATGGTGTGTATAGTAGTTGGAGCGTGGATTGGTGTGTGCGTGAGCGCGAGTGAATGAGAGTGTGTGGGGGGGGGGGGATTGCAGATGTTGATTCTCAGCTCCCAGCCCTGCTTCCTAACTTGCCACTCTTCAGATTCACTCCCTCTTAGCCTCGTGTGCCCTGTCATACTTGTTCTTAAAATTATGTATGAAGTCTTCCTTCACCACTTCATCAAGATCATTCCATTTTCCTACCATTCTGAGATAAAGAAATACTTACTAACATCCCAGTGACTTATCTGTGACTTACAACGGTGTCCCCGAGTTCTCATTTCTCGCCTCTCAAACAGCCTGTCCCTGCCCACCTTATCAATTCCCCTGAGTATTTTGTATATTATGTCCCCCTTCCTCTGGTACTACTGTTCTCCAATGTCGTCAGATCAAATTCCGTTAATCTCTTCTCGTAGCTCCTACCTCTTAGCTCTGGAACAAGCTTCGTTGCATTGAGTTCCATACTGGTGCCTCATACTCAAAGATGGGACTGATATACATTGTATAAAGGACCCTGAATGACTGTTGTTGAGAATCCTGAAGGCTACTCTAAGACTTGCCAGATGAACACTGGGTGCAGAGCAACTCTCTTCCCCTCCCCAACCCCCGTTATTCTGTTAAAATGAGGGTTTTGTAAAGAGACTCGGGGTGGAGATCAAGTCCTAAGATTATCTTGAACGACACAAAACAAATAATAACGTACACAATACAAACAGGAGTGTGAGAAATGTGCACTCGAGGTCTCCCATTGGTCGAGAGTTAATGGAAGTGTTAGCTAACACACAGGTTGCCGCTGCTAGCCACACCTTGATGATGAGAAGTGTTAGCTAACACAGGTTGCCGCTGCTAGCCACACTTTGATGATGGGAAGTGTTAGCTAACACACAGGTCGCCGCTGCTAGCGCACTAAGAGCACTCAACTGAAAAAAAACAGACGTGTATCCAACAAATTATTCACAATTATATTTAAGAAAATGTTACACTATTTCATAGTTTATTCTAGAGAATAATGAATCTCAAAGGAAGAAGTGATATATAGAGTTTGGTAAGATAATAAAGCATAACACACATACACACGCGAGTCAGTGTCGTTAATCAGAGCTCCTGGTGGCATTTTGTGTTCTAGTTGCGTTCCGAGGATATTGTCAGCGGCTATTGTGTGTTACAAAGTCAGTGAATATACTTACTAGAATTTAGCAAGGTTTCCAGAGCATGAAAAATGTGATAAGGTCAAATAATTTACAATTTATATTTGAATGGGGGTGTTTTTTTACTAGAAGCTGAGGGAAAGGGGCAGAGAACAGCTGGTCAAGACACATGAAATCGTAACGACAGCTTCATATCATTCCAGACTATGGAACTGAACGCTTCTCCAGGCTGATCGACTGACCACCTCCAATACTATTTTTCCAAAGTTGATGGACTGATTACATCATCTTCATTTCACTGCTACACCTGCTGCCTCTGACTCTTACTGTAGCCAGCTGGCTACAATAAGATTCATCCAACTTGAATGAATCTTATTGTTAGAGATAAAAACAAAATACTTGACACTGTGAAACAGTAAAACAAAAGATAGGCTGTGATTGTCTTTGGGCCGAGATGAGATATTTATAACTTACATCAAAATGCTGTTTGTGGATATGCAAACATTCCCAAGTGAACAACAGGTTGTGGCATGTTGGATGACCTTATTAATGGGGACCCTTATGACAGAGGTGCAAGATGTTTTGATTTTCCGCCCTCCACCCTTCCAACAACTCTTTATTAAAAAAAAAGTAAATATTAAGAAAATTTACTGCAATTACACATACATACACACGCGCGGGGTCAGGAGCTGTGACTCGACCCCCGCAACCACAACTAGGTGAGCACATAATATATATATATATATATATATAATATATATATATATATATATATATATATATATATATATATATATATATATATATATATATATGCACATATATATATGGTATTTGGGACCTGACGATCTGTTGGAGTGTGAGCAGGGATATTTAGTGAAGGGATTCAGGGAAACCGGTTATTTTTATATAGCCGGACTTGAGTCCTGGAAATGGGAAGTACAATGCCTGCACTCTAAAGGAGGGGTTCGGGATATTGGCAGTTTGGAAGGATATGTTGTGTATCTTTATACGTATATGCTTCTAAGCTGTTGGTTCTGAGCACCTCTGCAAAAACAGTGATTATGTGTGAGTGAGGTGAAAGTGTTGAATGATGAAAGTATTTTCTTTTTGGGGGTTTTCTTTCTTTTTTGGGTCACCCTGCCTCGGTGGGAGACGGCCGACTTGTTTATATATATATACATGTCGTGCCGAATAGGCAGAACTTGCGATCTTGGCTTAAATAGCAACGTTCATCTTGCCATATAGGACAAGTGAAAATTTGTGTATGCAATAATTTCGCCAAAATCATTCTGAACCTAACGAAAAAAATATATTTCACTGTGTTTGTTTAGTATTAAATTATTGTAAACAAATCTAAAATATATTTAGTTGGGTTAGGTTAAAATAAATTGTTCTTGTTATAATAAGGTTAGGTAAGTTTTCTAAGATCTTTTGGTGTAAAATTAAAAAAATTTACATTAACATTAATGAAAAATATATATCTTTAAACGTATAAGAGAAAATTTTAGAAAGAACTTAATTTTAAATGAGTTTTTGCTAATTGACCAGTTTTACCTATTCGGCACGACATATATATATATATATATATATATATATATATATATATATATATATATATATATATATATATATATATATATATATATATATATATATAATTAACCTGTACATCGTGGCAGATGTACAGGTTATACAGCTTTCATGAACCTCGTGTAGTAGATAGGTTTTAAAGCCAATTTGATCAGACCCTGATCCACCACGAGTAGATCAGGGAAACATACAGGAGAAACATACAGGAGAAACATACAGAGATAAACAAAGAAATAAAATAAAAAGAAGACAGACAAATGCTTCCATCTATCAATATATCCATCAGTTCAACCATACATACATATATTCATACACATACACCCATCCATGCATGGAAATATATATATACATAAATAAAGTAGTGTTTATATTATGGTCATAAAGAAACACAGCCTGTGTTCCGTTGTTTGTTTGCTTGTCTTTGTTACCCTCCCTTCGTGCCAATGTGTTTGTTCTAATGTGTTTGTTTCACACGTCGATACAGTGATAATTCTTAAGGGTTATGACAAGTTTTTCCCATCGGACGATCTGCAGAGCTAAAAGTGAGAAAGACAGAGAGGGAGACAGAGAGACACAAGACAGACAGAGGCAGACAAACGCACTGAATGAGAATGGGACAGAGCAACACATACACACACACAGGGTTGGCCAGGAGCTTAGTCTCGAGCCCTGCAACCACAATTAGGTGAGTACACAGCAATAAGTGTTATCAATCCGAGAATTTAGGGATACAATCAGGGAAGTTAGCAAGAGGGAAGGGATGAAAGGGGCAAAGAAAGGAAGACTGGAAAGTGTGAAAATTGGAGGGAAGAGAAGGGAGGGAGAATGGAAAGAGTGAAGACAAAAATATCTTGTAAAATAGATGAAGATTCGAGATAGATTATATTGTCATGTAAACAACTGTTAACCAAATTCTTCATAGAATTCTTACTGTAATGAGAGTTGTGGAGTGGAGTGAGCTGGCTCTCTCACTCTCCCCGTCCTCAGACTACTAAGCAACAAGTGATGTCAGTGGATGATGGACTCTTGCTATCATCACCTACACGGCTCCGACATTCCATTACGTATTCCAACTCTACTTCCTCACCCTTTTCTCCTACTAACCCTTGCCGTCTCTTTACCCTTCTCTAAATCCTTATCTCCACTCTTTATCACCCTGAACCCTTATCTCTCCTGCGTTTCCTTCATCTACGTTCCCTTCCCCACACCCTTTACTGTTTTTTCCTCTATTCCCTCTTTCTCTCTTCCCTCAAACTCTTCCACCTCCATCTCCCTCACCCTCCCTGGACTAGCGTGCCCATGGCACTGATATATAGTAGTTACAGCCTTCCCAAGACGCTGCCTGGCCCTCCCTTGATTCATCTCTCCCTTCCCTCTCTTCCTTGATTCATAACTCCCTCCCTTCATGCCTTTTCTTCCTTTACTACCTCACTACCTTTATTCTCTGCCTCCTTCTCTACCTTCCCTTAATCCTTACTGCTCTACCATCCTACCCTTCCTCGCTCCGTACCTTTCTTAGATTAGATTATGCCACCGAAGTGGCTAGTTTATTGTGCGCCTTATATCCATCCTGTGGACGGTAGCACAAGAGCATATGGATACACAAAAGGCTTAGGAACTAGGCCCCAAAAGGGTTAATAGGAGAACACCTGGATTTATATCTACAGTTCACTTATGTTACAAGGAAATTTAGGACATTTGCTTAATATATCCGATATCTTATTTTCATTAATAAAACATCTTGACATGTCCCATTGGTTATTATATTGTCTATATTCCTCATTAAGTGAACACTTAAGCATATTGTTCAAGATAGTGACCATAGGGCTGGCTACATACTTTGCATTTGGTTTGAGCATTATGTGTGTGTCTCCCAAACTGACAGAAGTACTTGTAACCAAGCCTAAGCCTGGCCACTACATCATTCAATGTGGTCATATTGCAGTCTGCTCCTTAAACGTACTTATCTACGTTCATATCATAGTGGATTATAGATCTACTCAGGCCTTTAATTACATTCCTGTAACACTGAATTTCATTATTTACTTCTCTCCTAATATTATTCCTGATGTTAGAGTACTTTTCTTGGCCAACATATCAACTTATCATAAAGAAGTAATCCAATGTGTGATGGAATCCATAATAAATGTCTCTTAATTCCTTTTCCCGGGGTTTTGAGTATCTATACCTGGCTTCTCCAGTGAGCATGTTAATTATTATGAGAGTCAAGAGCCTTCATTAATGACACAGAATCAGCAATAATTATAGAGTGAAGCTCAGCGTCATATGTTAGCTTTAGCGCCATTATAATGGTAAACAATAAAGTTTGCAGCGTAGACGCCCAGTTAATTCTTATGCCTAACTCAACAAAGCTCCTATCGTTCTTAATTAGGGAAGTGACAACAAGAGCATCACCAGCCCTGCCAGTAGACTCCTGCTTAGATCCGTCAATATAAAGCTTGTGATAAACTATTACTACCAGTTAGGCGAGAAATTTCTTCTCGAGAAGTTGCTTTTACAAGTGATTTAAGGAAGGAATTACTAGTAACAAGTTTCTTGGGAGGGACTTGCAGGTACGTGATATTAAATGAACACATCTTCCATGGAGGGGTAAAATGCTCCTGTCTGCAGAGATACACTTCGTGCAGATTATAAAACTTAATATAACTGCATGTTTTCACAGCCCATTTAGATCTGTATGTATTTACTTTTAGATATTTCGTAAGATTCATAGTGAGTGTCTGGTTATAACTTTCTTTCCTCCCTACATTCATTTGTCATCTCCGTCCCTCCGTCATTCCCTTCCGTCGCTCCCTTCCTGTATTTTTCCCTCTGTCTCTTCCTCTCGACTATTGTCACAGAATAAGTGCGACTATTGGGCATTTCAGCCTCCGCTCACACGTATACTGCTGAAAGATAATCAATATTTTGGAGGCAACGCTTCACACGCACGCACGCACCACACACACACACACACACACACACACACACACACACACACACACACACACACACACACATACACACATACACACACACACACACAGTCATACCCATGATCAGAGTCATACATACATCATGTATATATTTAGTCATACCCTTCTATAAATATACACATACACTCACGCAAATTCCTACAGACAAGAAGGAGTGTACAATTACACATATCTATCTATATA